CTCATGTACTGTGTCTTCTGTGTTTCCTGGCTCCCCTCCAGTCAACATGGCGTCCCGCTTCAGCTCCCCATATTTCTGCTCTTTCTTTCCTCTCTGGCTCTCATGGCTCAGTTTTCTAACAACGTTAAGTGTAGTCACTGGGCTGCAAATCTTTGTGACAGGAGTCCAAAACTCAACCTCTCAAAATGGGGCTTTTCCATTTTCTTGTGGAACAACAATGAAGACCTCTAAACCAGAATTGAGATAAATTCTGGATAGGAAGTCTTCCAATTAGATTACAGTGGAAGGGTCTTGGGCTCTTGAAATAACATTTCCTTTACTTCAAGGTAGTTAAGGTCAAAGAAGAAATATAATCTGTGTACATAGTGTATATATTCATATATATACATAGCCATAGCACTTACATTAGTATAGTTGAACCATAGACTTTTTATTACTCAATATCAATCAGATCAGATAAAAACCTTTAGCAGTTTAGCAGGACACAAAATTAATGTCCCCAAATAAGTAGTTTTGGGTACACAATGAATAAGAAGAGAAGACAATTAGGGGAAAAAATTCTATTTAAAATAGCTGCAAATAAAATTAAATGCTTAGGAATGAACTTAACTGAAGAGGTTAAGGTTCTCCATAATAAAAATTGTAACGAAATCAAAGATGTCGCCAGAAGACAAGACCTCTCATTTTCTTTTGATTGGGTCAATATTGTGAAGACAATATACAAATATAATGAATTATCTATCAAAAGTACCAATATCATTCTCCACAGAGAAAACTCAATCTTCAAATTTGCATGCAAGCACAAAAATCCTTGAATAGCCAACACAATCTTGAGAGAGAGGGAAAAATTAAAAACACACACACGCAGAAGGCTGGATGCATCACAATACCTGAATTTAAATTCTATCTAAAGCCATCATAACAAAATCATGTTGGTACTGGCACAAAAACAGATCTGAAGGCCAATCAAATACACTATAGAAGAACCAGAAATAAATCTATGTTCCTGCAGCCCACTGACTATTTTACAAAGCAACTCAACATATACATTGGAGAAAAAAATATATTCTTTAATGAATTGTGCTGGGAGAACTGGTTATTTACATGTGAAAGACTGGAACTGGAACCTTAGCTCTCAACATATACCACCAATAACAATTCAAAATGGAGCAGTGACCTTAAAATCAGCCTTGAAAAAAATAGGAAAAAAAAACACTAGAAATTACTGGTATAGAAAAATCACTTCCTGAATATAACTCCAATTGCTCAGTAAATAGAAGTGAAGATTGACAAATGGGATTCTATCAAGCTAAAATACTTCTGCACAAAGGATATAGTCAGGAGGCTAGAAATGCAACTTGAAAAAAATGGGAGGAAATTTTCTTGACATCTATACATCTAACAAGGAGCTAACAACATGAATATGCATATTCTCTCCCAAGAATCAACAACCCAATTAATAAATGGAAAAAGAATCTAAAGATGTACTTTTCAAAGTAGTCATATGTATGGTAAACAAATGAGTTAAGAGATTCTCAACATCATTGGCCATAAAGGAAATGCAAATTGAAACAACACTGAAAAAGTTGGGCACCCGTGACTCACATTGTAATCCAAGCCAGCCTGAGCAGAAAAGTCCATAAGACAATTTTCTTCAATTAACCAAGAGAATAAGTCAGAAGTAGAGCTGTTGCTCAGGTGAAAAGCTAAAGCATGCTTTAGCAAAAAAGCTAAAGGAAAACAGCCAGGCCCTGAGTTCAAGCCCAGTACTGGCACCAAAACAATATCCTGATTTGCATTCATTCAGATAAATGCTTATGAGTGGTGTTGCTGGGTCATAGGGTAGTTCTATTTTCAATTTTTTTGATAAACGTCCATGCTGACTTCGATAGTGGTTGAACTAATATCCATTTCCACCAACAGTATATTCTCCCCAGCATTTAGTGTTGTTGCAATTCTTGATGACACCCATTCTGCGTAAAGTGAAATGAAATCTCAATGCTTTATTTTTTGTTGTAAAAGCAAATATCATAAAAAGACTGCTACATAATTCATTATATGTCATATATTGTGGTAAGAACTGTCTGTACACTAGCTTTTCCAGTCCTTAGAACAGTTCTAGAATTCAGGCACTGTTGCCATTCCTATTGAACAGATAGAGACTTCATAAAGCATAAACAGTGTGAAGTTTCACTTGTCTGAGATCCCACAATTCTCAGTGGCAGAGATTAGATTCATATATAGCTAACTTTCTGGTTCTGTCTGGACCCCTGTATCCTCCAACTATCATTGAGATGCTAATAAGTACATCTAAAACATGAATTTTTAATGAGGTTAAAGCATTATAGAAAGTATGAAGGACACACACACACTCTTCCCATGTGGAACTAAATGCTGGTCAGAAGCTATTCCTCGCATTTCTTTGTAAGTACTTTCTAATCCAAGCTTCCACATACTGAGGCTTACTGCTATTTTGACTTGCCAGTGAGTCAAGTGCCAAGCACTGTGCATGAATATCACTTATTTAAACAAGCTCTTCGCTTATTTGAAATTCATCCAGAACGTTGGAACAAACTAGGATCTTTCCAGTGCTATAAATGGTGGTAGAAATTAGGTTTGGCAAATGGAATAGAAAAACAAATGGAAAAATATCTAGTACTGAGTAAGTGCTAGGTAATCACACTGTCACTCAGAGGCCTTGCCTCTAGACCTTTTGTTTGTATTTTGTGAGATACGGCCTCAATAACACTGGCTCAGCCTAGTCTCAAACATTTAACACTCCTGGCTTTTGTTATCTGAATAATTGTGAGTCCAGGTATGTACCACCAGGCTCGGTTGAAAGGTACTCTTAAGGTATATAATAAAGCCGTATCTAAATATCACAAAAAATATATGTACATATTAATGTTTTTATTTTGGATATAAACTATGATGTTATAGCTATCATAATAAAACTTTTTGCTAAAAAGTACTGACTCCTCACTTGGACTCAAGAATTAACAAAATCAGGCTAAAAGCCTGTTTCCATTTTACATCTGTCCCCTGGTCTTAAAACCCCACATCAGATTCTTGTTTAACTCTGCAGGTAGATGTGTTATTCCCCTTCATTCAATAGAAAACCCACTTCTGAGGGTCACATAATCCTAAAATAATGCACTGGTAAGATGTACAATAAATAAGCGATGAGAAGTTTGTCATTTCGATATTTTATTCCACTGTTTTCCTTAGTTCACTTATGGAAACATTCCACATACAACTCCATGGAATTTTTAAGGAAGCATATTATAAAGAGAAACAATTCAGCATTTTTTGACTCTAACATGAAGTTGTTGCCTTATAGCTTCCATGATTTCTTTTTGTAACAATAATATTAAGTTCATTTTGCAAAAGAGGGGTTTAAGTCTAAGAGAGGCTGAGAAAAGACTACTCCTAAGTCTACAGTGTTAACACACTGTGGGTTTAAGATAATTCCTTCATTTGGCTCTCTCCAAAGCTGGTTCTCTTTATGTATTACATTTATCAGTCCTTGAACAAAATGTTTAGGGCTTCTAAATTCCTTAGCATACAATATCTTTGATTTTTATATCATATTACCTCTACTTAACAATTAGAAGGTAATATATGAGGAAAATGAAATGTATCAGATTCTGTATTCTGTTCCAAGTCATAAAGCCAATGAGACAGAGGAAAGAGCTTAAATCTATATCCTTTTTCTCCCTCCTCTCCCATGTTGCCTTATAACATAGTTTTTCTATATAACAAAATTATAAAACCTGCTTTTGTACATAATTTGACATCAGCCCAATCATTTCTCAATTTCAGTGTATCCCTTTCAGGATACTAAGGAAGGCCTCTGGTATGTGAGTCAGTCTAGTTTTTGCACATAAACCTTATAAATGTTATATTACTCAGACACTTACATGAGTACCTCATAAAATTTGCTTTGGAAACTGTAAGATGAAAATTTTCTACTGTTAGTATGTGTTAAAACATTTGGACTTTACACTACAAGCAATAAGATACTCTGACAAAGATGATGGATTAGGACATGTTGGCCCTTACATTTTTCAAAGGATTAAGATAGGTGTTTGGAGGATAGCTGGAGGGACAATATTCTTTAGATATTGGCACAAGAAGTAAAGATATTGTCACCCATGTATACATAAGATGAGATGAAGGTAAAAGTAGAAAGCTTGAGAAAGTCTTCAGGCCTACTCAAGAAGGGATTCCTTAGGAAAAACTAGCAATATTCCCATTTCTGTTTGATTTTGGAACACTTACGGGTATTTCCTAGGAAAAAGAGCAGTTGATTCTAGGCTATTCTGTGGAATACAGAGCCGCTGAATTTTATTCTCCAAGGAATTCAGTTCAAACTTTGTTTCATTTCTGCTGCTATGAATATTTGACCCAAAGGGGACCTCTTGCATTGGATGAATTAGCACTTAGGTTTAGAAAAATAAAAAAAAGACTTTTCAAATTAGTTGTTAAAGATTTTATTTCAAACGCAAAGATTAGTTTATAAATTAAAAACTGCTTTAAAAAGTCTATCCGCTTTCTCTGAAGAACATGAGTTATGATGTCTTTGCTTTTCCTCCTGATTTTTTTAGTTGGTTTGAAGTATCCCCATTATGAATTGAAGTAGAGACTTTACCCACATCCTGAATGGTTTACTGGTATAATCATATAAAGCAGTAGAAAATTCCTGGTGTATCAGATATTCTTCTAGAACATTAACTACTAGAATTAAATTCATATTATTTCTCAGGGGTTGAAACTTACATTAAAATATTTTAAAATGCATAATGCTTATAATGAATAAATTTTAAGAATATAAATTCTGTTTACCAAATGTTAAAAACATCATTGAATCTAACAGCTGTAATGAATATTGGCACTGCATTTTTTAAAGAACACAGATTCTATCTTTAAAATGGAGAACCAAAATTGTCAGTTTTTGAAAAATAATAAAACAGACAAAAAAACAGTGAATGAATCTCACATAATTATAAAAGGGAACGATTTATTTATAGAAAAGACAATGAAAATAACATTTACTATAAACACTCAAAATTTTAAATTGTATTATCATTTACATCAAATTTGGAAGGAAAATAAACATAGCATTAATACACATCACTAAAACTCAATAAATGCAAAGTAAGAAAAGTTATCTTTGACAAAGCTAAACAAATAACTTGGATACTGGAGAAAATACAGTTCTCATAGTACAATTCATTTTTGTTGTTGATTTTTTTCTTGTTATGAAAATGACACTAGCATATATAACATTTCCCTGCTAGTCATAGTGCTAAAATCCCAAACACTATCCTCAGACACTTATTGAAACATCCCCATCATATTATTACATGTCAACATACATCTTACCTTCTCCACCCACAAAAGTTAAGATGAAAAAATTTACTCTCTTGAAATTGCTATTTTTTTCCTTAGATCATATTTTTCCTTTTCTTTTTAACATAATGTTGAAAAAGCAATTTGAAGTAAAAAAAAAAACTGTGACAAAATAGCTGCTTTTTAAAAAATGTAACTGTAATATACAGGGAAAGAAAGTCCCCTTGAGAAAGTGCATAAAGAGTTTAGGATTTCTAACTCCTAGGCTGAAAAATGGGAGTTAGACAGCCACATAGATTCCTTTACACTGATGATTAAATCCTTCATTTAAACCTTCATTATTAAAAAAAAGCACATAAATCTGCAAGCTGTTTTTAAACAATATCAGACTTCTTCTATCTTATTCCCAGTAAAGCAGCCACTGGTTTCTATTTATACAGTGTAATAGATGGGTATTTTGCTTTAAATAGAACTATATAACTCTATTTGCCTGAGATATAAACATTATGTTCATCTACAAATATAATGCCACGACAGAGAGAAATCGTGGTTGTAAAATAACACAGTCTTTAGCAATGTCGTTTTAAAGTGGCTGATAAAAGGAAGAGCTGCGTGAACAATTTGAGAAAACAAACGAGCCCCTTTCCCAGAACAATCAAAGCAGGGTGCATAACGTCTCATTCGGCTGCACGAGTCTGGAGAATCATAACTAGATGGTGCGCAGTCCTGTGATTAATGGTAGGCAATTAAGAATGGCAAATCAAGGTTCCCAGGGCCCATTTGGGTTTAGAAAAGAGTGGACCTGCAGGCACGGTTTCATAGGCAAAGCTTAGACACAGACACGCACAAAACTACACATACTGACTTTTGGAGTAGATGCTGGGTGACTTCTTTTCCATATGAAAACTCTTGGGGGTTGTGCGGTGCGATGGGACGGAGTACCTGTAGCTGCTCTTCTTCTCAGTGCAACAAAACACACAGCAGAACAGTGCCCCTCCGGCCAGCAAGACCAGCGCCGTGGTCCAGCCTATGTAGAGGGCTTCCCCCAGCTCCCGTTTCTGAGCAGCATCCACGATGGGGTTGTAGAAGTCTCTGATGATGGAGTTGGCCACCCAGCTCACGGGGATGAGCACCACGATGCCCGTGATGATGAACACGATGCCAGCGGTCAGCAGGATGCGACTCTTCACCCCCTCGTCCTCCCCAGTGCACCGGGTGCACTTCATGCCCAGGATGGCTGTCATGAAAGCCAAGAAAGACAGCACCGAAGCCGCACACATCAGGCCCCGGGATGCCTGGAGGTCCGGAGTCAGAGCCAGCAGGGAATCGTAGACTTTGCACTGCATGCGGATGTTAGCGTGTCTCATGCAGTTCATCCACAGCCCTTCCCAGAGGTTTTCAAAGACCACGATGTTGCTTCCGATGAAGGCAGACACTCTCCACTGCGGCATGATGGTGACAGCGACCGTGCCCACCATGCCCACGCCCCCGAGCACCAGCCCAGCGATTTGCAAAGCATAGGAGGCCATTATCCTCTGACTTTTTTTTTTTTACAATCAGACCAGAATCCTGAGCCAGTTAGGTAGGATTGCTCCGAAGCAAGAGTCTCTGTGCCTCAGGAGAGAACGGTTTTCTTTGTACTAATCAACTGAGAACCCAGTGGTTTTTCTAGCGAGAACTGCTTTGAGATCCTGTGTTGGCTAGTGAGCTTGCTTCCACCCCCTGCCCCCCCCCCCCCCATACACACCTCATTGACTCCAACAGGTAAACTTGCAAATCAGGTATTACAACTTTCTTGGCCAATGAGAGGGGGTGGGGTAACTCAGGTGTGTCTAAACCAAAGAGAGATACTTGGAACGGCTGGATGTGCATAGAAACACTCTTTGTACTTCTCCTTTTTCCAAGAGACACCCTTATTGTGTTTACCTCTCAGCGTAATTAGGAATGTTTGTACAATCGTCAAGAAATGAGCCAACCCCCGTGGAAGACAGCCCCCTGTGCAGGGATTTCTGATGCTCCAAGTAAGAGCTGCCAGTGTCCAAAGGATAGAATAAAATATCTTCCGAACTACAATCCTCAAGGTCTGTTAAAATGCCAGCGTGAAAGGAGAGTAAGGGATTGATGGATTGTTCAAAGTTGGGAAACCACATTCCTTGGGACACATGTGACACACGGGCTTGATTTAATTTGTCTCCCACTTCAAAGCCAGCTCAACCAGAGTGAGATGAGTGCACAGCTTGTGCCAAAAGGGGCAACAACCATCAGGCTACCGTAATTAAAGACGTGAAGTTGTTTTCCTCCTTGGCCCCAAATATGCACTCTTTTCTTGTAAGATAGGAAAATGACTTGTTGGTATTTTACTAAAAATCTTCACTGATAGGGAGAAAAACAAATCCTACCAACAAAACAAAACAAACAAACAAACAAAAACTTGATTTTCAGATGTGGCAAGCACTACAACACTTTTTTTAAAATGACTTAAAACTTTGTAATTTGTTTGCTTCTTTGGGGACTGTGTTCTTTCTTACTGCTTTGTCTGAATAGGCTGAAAGCTAGTGCTCTGCAGATGGTATAAGAGTTGAAAAGTCTAGGCAAATACTTGGATCTCTAGAGAATATATATATACATATGTATATATATATGTATAGTTGTCAACTATAGTCATTGATTAAATTCAATTTACCTGCTAACCAAGTTTGTCTTCCCACCTGTAATACGGTAGCTTCAGGAAAATATAACCTTTCTAAATACAAAGCAATTTAATACATATTCTCCAAATAAAAATGGTAACGTCAGTCATGTTAAAATGAACGTCTGTACCTAATGCAATTTCTCCTGGACACCATCTTGGGCTCTCTTGTCTGTCTTTCTAAACCTCAATCCAGCCTTCAATTTCCTTTTATCTTTTCTATATGAAAATGGGATTTAAAAATTTACTGCCTCTCTTTTTTCCTGTACTACCTCGAATCCAAATTTGAAAGGATCTGCTCTTTTATTATACTTTCAAAGTTTAATGGTCCAAAAAGGGCTGGACAGTTTATGGAGATTACTGGAGGAAATAATCCACAAAATTCAGCATGGTATAAAGGAAAATGGGAGATGCCAAATTAAATCATCTTCTTAAAAATTATAAAAAGGAAATGTGTAGTAATATAAGTTGTTAGCATTTATTATTTTGAAAATAATAAATAACTTAAATCTCATATGTTAAATAATTTCCCTATTTGTTCACCTACTTCTAAATATCTGGGTGCTCCATATCCTTGTGTAGAAAGTATTTTCTTTTTTTTTTTTTGGTAAGATTTTTTTTTTTTTACTGTGAAAAATACCGTATAGAGGGGTTACAATTACATGGGCAAGGAAATGAGTACATTTCTTATCAAGCATTGTTGCCTCCTCCTTTGTTTCCCTTCCCATCCTTTCCCATCTCCCCCTCCCCCCAAAGTTGTAAAGTTTTTTTCAACATAACATCTTGTACATCTCATTGTTGCAATGGGTCCACATGTGTCCCTATTTAAACAATTTGTTTTTTCCCTTCCCCTCCCCAAATTATACCAACATCAAATACAGTGAAAACAGGGGTTATACCATAAAAAGCAATAAGGAAATCATCTTATAATATGTTAGAAACAATCACAAGAAAGAAAAAAAACATTTCAGTCCTTATCTTGGGGTTCATTTCACCTAACATCAACTTACCTGACCGTTTCTGCTTGTCTCAGACACATACTAGTAACTGCAAATAAGGGAAACCATGGGACCTATGTTTCTTTGGGCCTGGCTTACTTCACTTAATATAATTTTTTCCAAGTCTTTCCATTTCCTAACAAATGGGCAATGCCATTCTTTCTGATGGAGGCATAGAATTCCATTGTGTATCTATATCACATTTTCTTGATCCATTCATCTACTGAGGGGCATTTGAGTTGGGTCCATCTTAGCTATGGTAAATAAGGTTGCAATAATCATAGTTGTGCTGGTGGCTTGGCAAATGCCCAAAAGTGGGATTGCTGGGTCACAGCGGAGCTCTATGTGGAGTCTTTTGAGGGACCTCCATACTACTTCCAAAGTGTTTGAACAAGTTTACACTCCCACCAACAATGCAGTAAGGTTCCCTTCTGTCCACATCCTCTCCTAGAAAGTATTTTCTTTCATCAGGTTTTATCTGTCACAGATTTGTGGCAGATGATACAAATGTATCATCATTGGAAATCATTGGCACTTCAGAAAAGAAATGTAGAATTTGAAACAGAGTTTTCATCTTTAATTGCCAATCTGAGAAAATGGAAATGGCTGACATAAGTGAAAAATTAGAACGGAATTGGTTGAAAGTGACAAATAAATGCATACGTGCTTAGAATTTATTAGCCCATTCTTCTAAATTCTCATATGACATATTTCCTAGAGTTCTATCTAAATCTTGTTGCACAACCACATTAAAATAGGGAAACAGAATGGAAACAGATGTTGAAGTACCTAAATGTTGCGGCCTTTGTTGGAACTGCATGGTGTACAATTTAACCCCTCTTCCCTTAGACATTGCAATTTCCTGGGAACTTAATTCATGCAAAAATATTTTCTTCCTGCAAAAATAGAAAGTACTTTGCTACTGAAATCTTCCTAGTGAAAAATTAGGATCGGTTAAAAAAAATAACTCTCTGTTTACATTAGAATAATTACAGTGTGAATTGTAGTACATCATTAGGTGAAGTCAGAGAGCAATCCAATTAACCCCATAATATTTTGAAATAGCTATGTCCCAAATGTCAGAAAAATGAAAAATAATAACCAAAAAGAGTAATACCAACTATGCTAGAGACAGAGACAAAAAATCACAGAAAATAACTCAAGTTCATTTTTTACCTATTTTCTGTCTGACTGAAAGGATAAACTTGGTTTCAAAATTCAGGTTCCAGGGATGATTGGAGATTCAGATCAATAATATTTATTTTTATAATTCTTTTATTTAGTACCACAGAGCTACACAGGCAGATTACTCTATAATTGCACTTCCATTACTGTGAAGAACCAAAATGCTACCAAGTATACAAGGTAGAAATTAATGTTCATTATGTTCTCCTCTCCTCTCCCTCAGGGCCTTCTCTTTGGTCTACAAAACAAGAAGCTCCATTTAAGTTTAGTAATTAAATTTACTAAATTAAATTCAGCCCTGATAACTACATAACACATGCAAATGCTTCCCTTCATATCTGATAACATACAATGTCACTCTCCGACTGTCCTTGTTTTTGTCAGGCTCAGACTTATTTTCATACACACTAGCCTTTAACTTACTCCAACTCTTCAGTATGAGGACCAAGAGTGGCTGCCAAAGCTATCATATTGTTTTCTCTCTCTCTCTCTCTCTCTCAATTCTTGATTGGCAGTTTTCACATGCTATTTGTTTTTAATTATTGTTCACTGTTAATGAATTGTACTTGTCTGACCTGAGCAAGCATGTGAACAAATCAATAGACTTCTTTGTTTTTACTTCCTAAGATAACATTGTGTATTGCTTCATGCATTTCTTGAAACACCACCCTGCTTGTTGTTGATGGGCAGCTGCTCTTTTTTTTTGTTTATTTTTTGGGTCCGGTCTTGAGGCCTGAATTCTGGGCCTGGGCGCTGTCCCTCAGCTCTTCAGTTCAAGGCTAGCACTCTACCACTTGAGCCACAGTGCCACTTCCGGCTTTTTTCTTTTTGCTTATGTGGTGCTGAGGAATCAAACCCAGGGCCTCCCGCATGCAAGGCAGGCGCTCTACCACTGAGCTACCTTCCCAACCCCAGGGGCAGCTGCTCTTGTAGTCTTGATACTCCAAGTGCTCTATCTACTAACAGTCTTCCAATTTTGCCTCTTCCCTATGATCTGTGTTCAATTCTTCTTTAAAAAGAAAGTAAACTATTTCTTTTATAGAATTGTCTAGTATTTTACACAGTTCAGTTTGCTGTGATAAAAGCTTTGCCTATAATCTGGCTGAATGAAAACAGCAGACAATTATTTCTACTTTCCTGGTGATTGGGAAACTTTTAGGCTAGAGTGCCAGCATGAGTGAAGTTTGGTGAAAGGACTCTTCCTAATTTACAGAAGGCTTTTTACTGTACCTTTATATGGCAGCTCTGTTCTTATTTTCTTCTAAAGACACTTGATACCATTTTGGGAGCTCTAATATTCTGATCTCATCTAAGCCATTGCCCCTCAGAACTTCAACCACTAAATATTGTCACAATGGAAATTAGAGTTTCACTGTAGGAAGTTTGGAACTCCACAAGCATGAAGTCTATAGCATCATCCAGTTATATCTAATCTTACTGTCACAAGAGTTCATCAACATTAGTAAAGATATCTCTTTGGTCCAAGATAAAAAAATAGTGCTGAACATGAATAATAAATATGGAAGTCATGATTATTTAAATAACATTACTATGGTTCAAATTTATGTTCTTCAAACTGAGTAGGTAGTGAATCATGATATATTCTAGGAGACTGGTTTGTGTGTACATTTGGTACCTTCAATAAACCTAGGGGAATAAGTCAAAGATGTATGTGCTTTGTGTTTTGTTCATGCTCATTTAATGAGTAATGTATAAGGACTGAATTAATATGAAATACTTTAATCATAATGATTTGAGGAAAAATTTCAAATGTAATACTAGTTGCTGTTTATAAAAGCATTTGCATAATATTAAATATTCTCTATTGCATACACTTCTTATAGCCTTTTACCTTACATTCAAAACATTCCTAGAAGACTGAGGTCAATTCCCTATTAATTGAATACTTTAAAACTCAAGAGAATGTATATTTTCTTTTAAGCACTTAGCTTTTGCTTGCAAATTTGCAGAAATGAAACATAAAATATTTTGTCTATAGAATTTACTATTTTCCTTCTTAGACTTAGAAATAGGGAACTTTATAATTTGATACATATGGCCAAAGTGAATGAACAAGTAGTTTTCAACATTGTTTTCTATGACCAGTACGTTTGTTGTAAACAATTTGCCAGGTTAATATTTTTTAATTCACTGAAGTCTGAAATACATATCTGTAGATGTTCTTTGCAAAACAGTTTACACTAAGCAGATTTTACAGTCCACACTGGAATTGTAGCTTATTTAGTTTCCATAGCATCTTTTCTTATGTGATCGCCCATTCTTTAGCACTCCTCTCTATTTATATTATTTACTTTTTTGTTTATTTTATGTCATTCCTGGGGATTTGTACCCAAGGCCTTTACCACAACACCTTAAATAACTTTAGGTTATGTTTTAGATAAGTTTTCCTGTTCTGTCCAGAATATGTCCTAAATTCCATCTACTTCATGCCTATTGCATGGCTGAATTTATACACACACCATGACACCCACCTTGTTTGTTGAATTGAGTCTTTCTAACTTCCTGCTTGAGCTAGCTCAGAGAATTGTACTTCTCCAAATCTCCCCATCCTGAATAAACCGGGATTATAGGTATGAGCCAATTGTGTCTGGTTCTCTTCTTCCCTCTTGTTAATTCTTTAATTATACCCTAAGTCATGATATCTAACTGACCACCACCAAATATGTAGTTGTCTAAAATAAACACTAAATCAAATTGAATGCAGCCAAATGATGTTTCCATTAACTAATTCATTCAGTATAGAAGAAAACTTTATCTTTTATATGGAGCTAGTGAATAACAATGGCACAACACCAAACTTGTCTGTATTAGTCAAGTAGAATTATTCTTTTCAGTGACTCATAAATTTTTTCTTTCTACCTTTGATGCAAGACCATCTCAAAAACCACTTACATAGCTGGGTGCTGGTTCTCACAACTGTAATCCTAGCTACTCAGGAGGCTGAGATCTGAGGATAGAGGTTCAAAGCCAGTCTGAGACTTTTATCTCCAATGAACGCTGTGGCTCAAGTGGTAGAGCGCTAGCCTTGAGCTGAAGAGTTGAGAGACAGTACCCAGGCCCAAAGTTCAAGCCACACAACCTACAAAAACAAACAAAAAAACATTTACATTGCACTAAACTGCTTTCCACATTTACCTCTTGAATGTACTTGAAAAGCAAATCTTAGAAATTTTAGAAATCTTACATAACATTCCAGTCTTCTGAAACATAGAAGGGGTTGCACAGCTTTGGTGATGAGAACCCAGTGTCTGTGATAGGAATCCCTGGCCAGGCAGTGAAATATAAGTGCTACCAGAAATAATCACATCAGATAACGAACCATATCCACACAGAGTCTTTCCATACTTTCATTTTGAGTTCATGGTAATTCACAGCCAGTTTAAGTCACGGTAATTCAGTAAAATATGGACGGTAATATCCTGAATATGATTACCTAATGTTATGCTAATTCAAAGACTAGTTCAATTATTATTCAATTATATAGTTAGGATTATTAAATGTTATCTTAATTATTCATGTTTTAAGATTCTTAACCACTTTTTATTTAGACAGTAATATCATGCCAGATTTACTGAAAAAATCCATATAAAGTTTGATAACTAGCTCATAACTTCACAACTAACAGGGAGAGGGGAAAATTCTGAATGGAACACAAGTTTGAACAAGGTCTTGACTATGAGCCACAGAATCTTGTAGCACTAACACTACACATACCCAATTACATGAACCAATGAGCAGTATATCTCTTGTAGCATATAACTTTGGTAGTGTGTAATTATGTAGAATAGTGCTCTGTATATTGTGAATTTTCAATAGTATTTTGAGTAATGTGAAAGGAGTTAAAAGTATGTCTCCATTAATGGTAGCAAGAAGCCAGTGCTCAAAGAGAATCACAGGACAGCTATTATTAAAAGAGAAGAACACAAGTGGGCATGTACATGAGCACACATACACACACATACACACAAGTTCTTATGAGCAAACAATGAATATGGGAACGTAAGAAATGACTTTACCTTGTCAAGTCAGAGTTAACAGGACAGGCAAAAGTAATTAAGCAGGCAAATAGACCTAAGCCATGTTACTGATTAATTTACAAAACAATTAACTTTCCACTTAAAATTCAAATTAAGATTCTGTCTGCCTTAGGCTACCAGTGTTTGCAAATTTTAATGGGGTTAGACATTAAGTGTCTTACTTAAAACCAACTTCAGACCATACTGAGTAAGACCATTATTCGAACAAATGGTGCATGGCATTCTTGGTCTTTAGTTATCAAAGACCAGAGAAAATATTACAATATATTATTGAACTGATGAATTCATTTTCCACAGGAATATGAGGAAAGTGAGAAGTTATTTAAATTCTCATCTTAAATATTTGCAGAGATTCTGCACTTAAAAAAATTATTCAAGGAAATAGCTTATATCTTCTGAACACTTCCGTTCATTCAACAAGTATAATACATACTACGTCTTGTGATAGACTGAGGAAGAAGATACAGGCCCTGTTGTTGGTGATTTTATATATATGAACACTGAGGAGACCAAAGAGGAATGAACTTTTGGGTCAATTAACTCTTCACTCAAGTCATTAAAAGCAATAATAATAATAATAATAATAAATATTGCACAGCTTTAAAGAGAATAGATTTATCTATTAAATCACGAGAACCAACGGTTGGGCCCTTGGTCTTTTACACATATATCTGATGGATAAAGTTCTAAGAACCCTGTTGAGGCTCTTCTATTATAGCACCTGTGTGCTTTCCTATCTTCCATTATAGCAACTGGACAGACTCCAGACTCATGAAGAGCAGAAGCCTGGTTCTTTTGTCCTGTCTCTTCTCAGTGTTCACCAGCATCCATAGAATGCTGGAGGTAATTGTGTGCCAAAACATTAGGGTCATAGGTTTGATGCTAATCTAGCCAGTTGGTCTTGCACTATTCGTGGTAAAACACTGGATCAATGAGCCAAAGCATTCTTTACATCTTGAAAAAGAACAACCTTAACTGCATAAACCTAATAGGTTGTCTAAATCCTGCAAAAAGCAACTCCACTGGGAATGTCTGTTAAATAGAATCAAATAACCCATCAATAGCCACTCCTGGAAACCAAATCACATTCAGCAAAGAAAAATAAGTCTTTGGTCACTGGTTCATTCAAAACTAAGGTTTCTGCTTCTCTTTCTCTAACCCATGGTCCTGCTATCTTCTTGGGGTCTCATGTTATGGGGACCTGTACGAGATAGTATGACTGACTACTGGAACATTTTACTTCAGCTGGACTTTTGTTCTCTCACACTGACCAGTATTGCTTTATCTCATTCTTGTGTTAACAAACTGGTTGGTCCTGCTTCACTAGACCTCCTTCCAGGTCGAGAATTTTGAATGGAGAAAAATGCATGCCTTGATTTTGCATTTGGGGTCAAGAGGGGATAACCAAATGGATCTAAATGATCAAGTAGTGTATTCTTCTTTATTCTATAGATAAGAGGGTCCAAAAGCTCCAGGAGAGTGTAAGTGCTATCTCTGCTCCATTTGGTGTTGCATCTGGTACTTTCAAGAGCCTAGAATGTAGAAAGCTTCAATATTTGTCTAATATCACAAGACAGTGTTGGGATCTCTGTGCCTGAATTCTTGACATTGCTTTGGTAACTCTTGGTAACTATGACTCCATGGCCAAGGAAAGTGCCTATTGTTTATTTTTATATTGCTTTTAATTATTATTATTTGCTGTTATTTATTATTATTATTTGTTTTTGCCCAAAAGCTTGCAAGTGCTATGGGAAAATGACTTTATTTCTTCACTAATTTCTTGCCAACTGCAAGAATACTGCCTGGTTCAATGCAAGAACTTCGTAAATATTTGACAAATTAATTGATTAATAAATAAGCTATATAATTTAAAGTCATTTTAGCACACAGGAATTAAAAAAATCTGCTTTATACAGAAATTAAGTAACTCTTTTCAGTCTTTTCTAAGCAGAGAACAACTTATAATGACACTTATCTGTGGTTCTAGTAGTTCCTGAGTTTGTTTTTAACCTTTTAAGAAGGCCTACTAAATGTGTTGTGATGGAACTACACACATTTAGTAGGCCTTCTTAAAAGGCTAAAAACAAACTCAAGAGCCCATAGATTTTGCTTTAGCACTATTTGAATTTCCTAGGTATGCCTTATAAAATCAACATGTATTTTCTCATTTATTGTATCTCTCTTCTCAGGATTTAAATTTCCATTTTTAATGTTCAGAATAACAGTATTGGAATAATTCACCTACAAGTATCATATCAAATATCAGTGAGCTAGTAGTAAGCGGCTCATTTTAATATATCAGGATATTTTTAATTATAATGACTATTCTCTATACACACTAATATAAAAGTAAAAATCAAAACAATCAGCAATTAGCAAAAACATTCCCTATAGTCTAAATTTTTGAAAGAACTTGTGGGTATATTTTACACATATTTTCACTAATGAAAGATTTGTTGATCTGCTTCTTTTAAGGTATTAATTGTCATCTTGCAAAACCTTAGTATTCATCAGCTATCTTTAATTATTAGTTAATAATTATTAGTTAACAATGTTGCCAGGAATGAAGTTTCATTTGGAAACATTAAGCTTCTGAAATACCAGATTCAACTGTATCTGCCTATTTTTCTTAATTTACTTTATGGATTATTTCTGCACACAGATAAACAAAAAGGCAAAAAAATTCCCACTCCAGGAAGTGAATGACAGCATACAATAGCCAGCTGTTATCAGTAGCTTATTTTACTTTCATAAAATAAGTTAACTTAAGGGTGAAGTAGGAACCTTATTTTATTTAATTAGAAATTTGCCTGAGTTAACCACTTATTCCCCATGCGTCCCTTACCTTTCAATCAAATTTTGTTTCAAATTTCATGCTGTCTTGAGCAACCATGCTTGGAACTGACAAAGCAGAAAAAGCCGCCTTACGTATATTTTTATTAAAATATTGATAAATGCTGTCACTAAAATGGTAATGGAAGTGCAAATGTGTGAATGGAGAAGATGCCAATGGGGTATGGTGTCAAAAATAAATGAATTTCAGATTTGGTTTTGTTAGTTGAATCCCACACAAGAGAATATACCAACGTAAACAAAATAAAGTCCAATTTTGCATATAACATCTATCTAAATTTAAATAAAGTTACTGTTCACTTGAGATCAAGATTCCATTTGAATTACATTTACTGATCTGATATCACATGCCAGAAACATTCCATTTACTATTGTAATTGAATTGGGCTATTCTTCAATATGGAGATGGGAAAATTCTCTTTAGCTATGATTCTGCCATCCAAAAAAAACAAAAACAAAAACGTTCTTAGTGTGAATTTAATCAAGGAAAGGACATTCTCCCACAGAGAAATTACAGTTGACTCTGAGGTTACAAGAAGAAACACTCTGAAGAAAACATTTTATGTATAGGTAGTAGACAACTTTGAACCTGATGCCTCCTATCTCAGTTCTCACATACAAGTGTTTGTTTTTACACCTAACTGTGCTTCATTCATCTAAATGCCTGCAATGTTTGACAGTCACATATTAACAAGACTTATTATTATTTATTATTGTTATTGTTATCTATTGTGGCAGTGGTAGTACAGGGAAATAGATTCAGGATTATACATCTGCTAGGAGGAGGACGCCCCATCCTCTTTGTGTGTTGGTAACATTCAAGATAGGCTCTTGCTTTTATGTCTGTGCTACTCGGGGATATGATCCTCTCACTATGCTTCTGCTGTCTCTGGGGATGACAGGACAACATCACCATGCGAGGGAAAGCTTGGAAGCGCTCTTGATCTTGGATGTCAAGTAGCTAGGGTGATAGGCTTAAGCACTTTTAACATTTTGACTCTAGATTTTTTTTGTTGTTGTTATTGTAAAGGTGGGGTTGCTGTTACATAAGTCAGATAATGAGTACATTTCTTTAAAAATTATTTTATTGTAAATATGGTGTACAGGGGGGTTACAGTTACATGAGCAAGGTAGTAAGTACATTTCTTGTCGAACATTGTTACCCCACCCTTTGTTTTTTTCCTACTGAGTACATTTCTTCTTGAACAGTGTCACCTCTCCCCTCATTTTCTCCCAGTTTTCTCCTCCTGCCTCTCTGCCGCAAGTTGAGTAGTTCATTTTCGACATAATGTCTAGTGAGTACCACTGGTTCAATTGTTCACCCTTTGTCCCACCATTTCTATGCTCTCCATTACCCTCCTCCAAATAGATAGATTTACATACAAAGCAAAAAATATAAAAATAAAAAAACCGACAAAGGGGGAAAAAACTCAAGAAGCAAAGTAACAGAAAAACCTCTTGTTTCCATTTCTTAGAGTTCATTTCAGTAAGCATCATTTTATATGATTATATGCATTTAGCTATTGAGCCCTTGTGATCCTCTCCTAAGATTATCCTTTAGTCTCACTGTGTGAAGGTGAGTCCTGTATGATAAGTTCAAACTAGATTTGACAACCCAATTATTATAACAAGCCCATTAAGGCAGAAACCTGTTGTTATAGAAAATGTCATCAATCCATTAGTTCAATTCTAGGAAACATCTCAAATCTATTGTTTTTATGTAAAGAGAGGTTATTCTTTTAAATGATCTCAGTAATTAGTAATTAACAATTCCACTCAAGTATCTTTTAAAGTCAGTTAGTTATCTTTTTTTGTTTGTTTGTTTTGTTTTTGCCAGAACTGGGGCTTGAATTCCAGCCCTGGGCATTGTCCCTGAGCCTTTTCATGCTCAAGGCTAGCATTCTACCACTTGAGCCACAGCACCACTTCCAGATTTTCTGAGTAATTTATCAGCGATGGGGGGGGGCTGACTTTGAACTGTGATCCTCAGATCCTCAACCTCCTGAGTAGCTGGGATTATAGTCATGTGCCATTGGAGCCTTTCTGATAGTCCTTACATTAACTCATCAAAAGTGGATTGCTCAGTGACCCCAGGACAGGCACTGCAGGCAAAGCACTGAAGAAGAAAGCATGAAGAAGGCACAGTGCCTCTCCCAGGTGCTGCCAGGCTAATCAAGGCAGAATGCTTGCTGGGGGGCATCGCTTCCTCCTTGTACGAAACTCTTCATTCATTCCAAAATCACAGTGTGTTCTACACACTAGTGCCTGTGGGCTCTGGAGAGGACAGAGAGGATCGCAGAACAACACTGCTGACAATCACGATTTTTCCTTTAATGGAGCACAAGTTCACCCCCCCCCCCAAATATAGCTACTTCAGCCCCATGGGACTGAACTCTAGGGCTACTAGATCATGCCCTGGGTTTATAGACAAAACTTCCTTCCTGTTTTTAGCATTGCCAACAATGGGGTTACCAAACAGAACAGATGTTGAGAAACATTTGGATGTCAAGGTTGCTTAGTTCCCCACCATGAGTCAAGTCCCGGTGACCTCTCAGGATTCATTTCCATCAAGAAAACTCCTTACCTGACTGGCCATTGAACTTCACCCAGGCACAGGTGCAGAAGCTACACTAATACCAGGAGACCATGACCGGCTCCATGCTTCCTTGGAATGTTTTCGATAAGAACTAATGGTCCTGGGAAAGGTTCAGATCTTCATGGACAAAAGAACTAAGTAAATAAACATTTGTGATTGCTAATAATAATGCTTCAGAATAGTGGTCCTGGTCGTGGCAATTCAGTTCTGCATGTTGCACAAACAGAATGATGAAGGTACTTAGAGCTAGTTAATATATGCTTCTAGAACTTCCCTTTAAGTAACATACCTGCAATCTACTTATGCACAAACCACCAAGAACCAGTTGAAAATCTTCCACAGAAAATGTGTATCTCTTTTCTAAAGGAGATTTTTTTAAACCCTTGGTTATGTATCAGCTACTCATACAGTTTTTGAAGTACAGTGAAAATTGAGAAAGGAGACTGACTAGTATTGGTAAAGTTCTCTAATGGACTTTTTGCCATGTGGAGGGTAATGGTGAGCGAGTACCCTTTCCCTGCTGTTTCACTCATCAACAACCCCAAGAACAAGGAAATAGTCTTAGTCAAACTAGAATTTCCCCTAACATGAATTGTGTTTTGAAAACATTCTTGGGGAGATAAAAATCCATATTTACCTGGGTCGATGCATTGCATAGTTTCTCTTGTTTCCCTGGTTCTACTGGTACTTAGGCAACAGAAATGAAAAGCACATGTTGGTCAGGCTAGCCGCTGGTGATACACTGGTAAACAAGTTCATTGTCCTCCTCTGCTATACCAAGATATATTCCCAAATGATCCAGTTGCTGAATCTCTCCAGTTTTCAGCAGGAAATATAGGCATATGTTGAATAAATAATAGAACACAGAACAGTGACTGTCCTAAAGTATCATTTCAAATAGAACTAATTATTCAACAGGGCTTTCTTTTCCCTTAAGCAAGGTCTATAGATTAGTTAGGAATAAATCTGACTCTGTGTCTGACTCTCTCTCAATTGGCAATACATTTTTCTATACTCTAAATTATACTGTAGGTGTAAATTACACTTGTCCCAAGTGCAAGAAATGTCATATCCTGGGAAGACATTAGTCCGATAAATAATGACCGTAATGGCTTACACCTATACTCCCAGCTCTGTGTGGGAGGCAAAAGTAGGAAGATCAAGGACTCCATGACAGGACAGCTCCAGGCAAAAGAAGCAAAAGACCCTATCTGACAAAAAAATATTTAAAAGCAAAAGGACTTAGGGCCTATTTTAAGTGGGAGAGTGCTTGCCTAACACATGAAAGGCCTTAAATTAAATCCTCAGTACTTGCATTTCAACTAACCACTCATTAAAAATACATGAACCTGCCACATGGTGGAATTTGTCATCCGTTACAGAAACAAATACTCAGTCTTGGAAACAATTTTAAAGACTCCTTTTAATCATTGTCATCAATGTACAAATATTA